CCAGAGGGGGACAGAGCTGTGGGCAGAGCCCACCCGGGCAGCAAACCCAAAGCCGAGCTCAAGCTCAGCCGCAGCTTGTCCAAGTCGGACTCTGACCTGCTGACCTGCTCCCCGAGCGAGGACGATGCCATGGGGAGCCGCAGCGAATCGCTCTCCAACTGCAGCACCGGCAAGAAGCGGCTGGAGAAGTCCCCATCCTTTGCTTCCGAGTGGGATGAGGTAAGGCTGAGCTTGCTAAAGAGCCTCTGTGCCAGGAAGGAGTGTGCAGCAGGAGCTCCCCTCTGCCGCGCTGCCCTCGGGGGTCCTGGGTGGGTTCCGTGAACTCTCACAATGCAGCAACAGGCACACGCTCACCTGGGAGTCTGCAAGGTGTTAAATGCCAAAAGATAAAGTTCATTGGAGTGGGGGAGTAGCAGAATTGCTAGCAGTTTCTAAGTTTATTGCTCAAATACAGGGTGTCCTGGTTTGAAAAAAGGAAGTGAGATTTTTTGGGATTAATGTGCGCTGTGCGCCAGTGTCAAGCAAAGCTTTGTATTCTTGTTCCTCTTCACCATATATGATGATAATGACAATATTTTCAATCCCCTTGAAGGAACCTCCAAGACATATACCCAGGGAGCATATATTTTCATGGGGGCACTGGCATTAGGCCAGTTTCAAACCGTGACACAGGGCTTGGTTTCTTTTAGGCAAGCCAGATAGGTTTTCACATCCCCAAAATGAGAAAGACTTGATAACAACGCCCTTCACCAACCTGTGAATCAATCCTGCTTTCCTCCTTCCACTTCTTCCCTGTTGATTGTCCCAGTGTCTTGGAAGTGTTGTGTTGCTGGGTCTGTGCTGCTGGGGAGTGTGAGCAGTGCCCAGGGGTTCATGGGGATGGAAGGCAGGCAGCAATTAGGCTGGTTGGTGTATTTGATAGCTCCTGCTCTCCTCCTCACACGCTCATTTCAGCGGCTGGTTAGCACTCACTTTATTATCATATCGGACGCCCACGGACAGTTAAATATTTCATGCTCAGAAAGTTGGCCCTGGAGAGGCACTGGGGCAAGATTAAGTGTCCCTCTGAAATTCAGCACCGCAGCATTACTGAAACATTCTTTGGGGATGATTCTGTGCTGGGGGAAGTGGGGCTGCAGGAGAGATAAGCTCGGATGAACCACTCTTTGTACTCTGGAAAGGAACTGGAAGCCTGGCGTGGTGCTGGGGGTGTGGAGCCGCGTGTGCCGGGCGTGGAAGCCCGGGGGAGGGTTGTGCCCCTGCACTGGCTGATGCTCAGCTGCCTCTCCAGCCCTAACTCAGAGAGAAAATTATCATCTGGGGAAGAGGGAGGTATTTAGAGATGCTAAAAGCAACGTGAGAACCCATCCCTCGGTCCGTTCTCTCCCTCCCCCTCACTCCCTGCTGGGTCTCAGGGTTGCCAAATAGATATTTTCCTCTGCAGCTGCTTGGGCTGGAGAGGCTTTGCTGTTAATTGCCCAGGTCAGTTGTACCATGGCTTAGGGAAAGGCTCTGCAGCAGAAGGTTCTTTGGAAGGGCTGGATAATTCCCTGTGCTTTTATTTGAGCTGTTTGCAGCAGACACTGAAAGGGCAGAAGCCTTTGGCACGAGTGCATTGGTAGCAGAGGTCAAGTGCTGAGCTGCCTGCACTGCCTCTGCTTCCTCTGCTCAGATGAACCCTCAGAGCTGCTTCCTCCTGCCTGTAAACAAATCCCTCATTTCCCCTGAGGCAGCTGGACAAGCCCCAGGAGAGGAATCTGCTTTTCCTTCCTCTCATGTTTAGGTGAGGAAATCACAGAAAGAATGCGAAAAATTCACATCTGTCTGCAGTGGGGCAAATATCATTTTTTTTAAAGTCTTGCTGGTCATGGTGGCATCAGTGAGATTTAAACATAAATGTAATTCTGTGGTTGTGTGTCAGATTAGTTCCCTGGATGGGATAATACAGCTGCTCAGAGCTGGATGCACCTTGCAGCCTCTGCATTTACCAGGGATAAATAAACCTTGTTGAGCCATCCCTGTTAGCAATGGTTTGGCTTTCCCTCTGTGCTGGGGGGAAACAATGGCAGACTTATATTATTCTGTTGATTTTAATGGCCTTTATGCAGGTGACTGAGGAGGGAAGTGATCCCTGTGCAGCTCTCCCAGCTGAGCACTCTGCCTGCTGGCCTGGCCAGCTGTAGCTGTGTCTGTGCAGGGCACAGGGGCCTGGGAGGGATCTGTGCTGTCCCTGGACAGATGAGATCTGCAGCAGAGCCTGAGCTGACCCTGCTCTGGGCTCTGGAGGCTGACTGGGGACAGAAAATCTGCTGCTTGTGAGCAGAGGGTCACGTCCTTGCCCTGGCCGAGCGCTGCCAATGCCCTTTGTTGGAAGTGGAAGGTGCTGCTGGCTTTGCCAGGAGGGTGGGATGGGGAAGGAGTTATTCACTTGGCAAAGCTCATCCCTGTTCCCAGTTGCAGCTCCCCTGTGCCAAGGAGCTGGCCCAGAGTGTTGCTTTGTGCTCTGTGCTGCCCAGGAGCCCGTTCAGCCCATGTCCCATCTGCCCCTGACCCCTGCAGCTGCTGCCAGGTGGGATCTCTGTGTGAGCAGGGCAGAAAAACTCTCACATCCAACATCCAGGCACTGCCCAGGGGGGTGAGGAGTGAAAATGCTCAGTCCTGCTCTGGTGAGGGCAAGGAGCATGTGAGGGGATGCAACTCTTGGTCAGCATAAATGTTTGAATCCTTCCAAACCTGTCTGTGGGCTGAAGGGATGGATCTGGTTTTCATCATTGGCTGGTGAGTACTGAGCAGACAGGGATGAGTGGGGCAGCAGCAGCTCTCAGGGGTTTGGTACAGAACAGCCTGGATTTGCATCTCTGAGGGAGGGAGGGGGCTCTGGCCCCCAGCCCCCTTTCCAGGGCAGGTTAACCTGCTTCTGCTCTGCCTTCCTGCTCTCCAGAGCAGCTCCACACCTGCCCTTCAGCCTGGTTCATGCCCCAGGCTCTGAGCAGGGATTCTGCAGTCAAGGCCTGGGGCTGCTCTTCTCCCTCTTAGGTGCTGGTAAGAAAAATGATCTGTTAAATGATCAGGGCAAAGAACAAGGAAGGCTGCTGGGAATTACCCTCAGACCTGGCTCCTGACATCCCTTAAAATCCCCTGACATCCTCCACTTCCAGCTGCCTGCTGTCAAGTCATCTGTTCCAATGCTGAATTTCAATTTTGGAGGTTCTGGTACCCATCTCACAAAATGAGGTTGTAGTTCTGTGTTCTAACTTAAGTGCTCCTAGGAAAAGATTAAACATCCTTCAAAAAAAATTTAGGGAACTGAATAAAACATGCACATCACTTTAGATTTTTTTAGAAAAAAGAAGGTGCACAGTCCACCAGGTTTTTTTTCCCTCCCAAGTGAATTAGTTGAAGAACTAATGAGTATTCTGTAGCTAATTATGGCACTGGACATTCATCTCTGATGACTAACTGCAGTGGTGCTCCATGTCTCCTGTGAAAGGAATGCTTTGCATCTGCAGTAACCATGGATGAAGTATTTCACCAATTCCTGACCCATTTTGGGGCTGTTGATGTCTCCTAAGGATGGATGCCAGGAGCAGATGGCACAGCTGTGGTGCTTCCACCTCAGGCTTGGAGCTGGGAAGGAGTTTGATGGAGATTGTGGCTGCCTTTATGCCTTGTCTGGACTGTTGGGTGCTGCAGCACCCTGTGGAATCAGTGTCTTAATTACAGGCTCACTGTGGAGGATTAACAACATTTGCATTGAAATGTCAAACTTTGTGGAAAGCTTTTGATGCAAAACCTGCCACTGCCTTTAAACACCCAGGAGTTGAAATTCAGAGCTGCCAGCCAGCACCCTTGAAAGAAAATGCAAATATTCCCCTTGTTACTCAGGAAGAGCTGCTGCTTTTGTGCCTGGTGAAATTGCATGGTGTATAAAAGCTCTGCCTCCCAAAATGTTCCATTTATTCTCTTGGTTCAGGTGTTCAAATCTCAGCTTGCCCTGGCTTTGGCTGGTGGGACCAGGCACGATGACTTCAACTGTCCCTGGGTGTCCCCTGCCCTCAGTTCACATTCCAGTTCCCCCTTTGCTTGAAATAGCTGTAATTCACTTTTGTCTAGGGCAGAAGCAGCAGTGGGGTCAGTATTTTTGGTTTTGATTCTGCTAAACAAGCATGGCCAGCAGGCTCTTAATCAGCTTAATTATTGGGCTGATTATTCCATTGTCTCCAGATCCCAATGTTTCCTCCTGGTTTTCCTGTGCTAAGGTCAGGAATTCTTACATCATCCCTCGTGTCCAATCTCTTCTCTTTGCCCCCAGTGGTGAGATTTCCTCCAGCCTGATGAACTTTTTGAAGTGAAAGCTTTTGTGTTTCCACCATTTTTAAATGTGCTGCAAAGTCCCAGCCTGTTGGAATCCTGAGCCAATGTGGAACTGAGCCAATCCAAGCCAGTGTAAGACAATTTACTGGTTTGACAGGAAAACCTGTGTGCTGAAAGGCCAATGTAAAGACCAGGCATGCTTTGTTCCAGCAGCCAGGGTTGGACACAACAGGGGTTGTGATATTTGCCAGTGCAGCAGCTCCATCCACCTCTGTGTGAGTTTCTGGGAGCTTCTCAAGTGTGTGAACTCAATATTTGTGAATCAGGAGCTTTTGATTCTTGTGAGAATGATGGGATGTGTAGGTTATGTAACAGCCTTGTGATCACTGGCATTTTGGGGACATTTTTGTTTTTCAGGAACAGAAATGTCTGGCCACAGTGTCCTTACTAAATCCAGTCCTTCATTATGTTCTCTTCCGCTTTATGTCCCATCTTCCAGCACTTCTGAAGCTTTTATTTTAAAAAATGTCTTTAAATCTCTCTCTCCATCCTGGAGCAGTTTCACTGCTCTGTCCCACAGGCCAGAGCCAGCCTTGCTTGAGAGCCTTATTGCTTTGGGGTTTGTGTAAGGAGGCAGGAATATGGAAAGACAGTGAATTGATTCAAGCCTTTCTGGGGGGTTTGCCTTTTTTATTGTGACTCAGAGTAGCCTTTGTCCAGTTCAATAAGCTATCAAAGATCAGTACCTAGAAGGAGAGGTCATTTTGCCACTTAAACCGGAGGCTAGTGAAACCAGTGATCTGTTTTGAAAATCTAAAAGTTTATATATGACTGCAGTTAAAACAGGTAGCATTTGGAAGCAAAATGATAGGTATTTGCAGGAAACAGTACTGTAAAAATCTCCT